ATCTAGAAAGCAAGCCAGAATCACAACAGATGGCCTACCAAGCTGTTAGTAGAGTCAAGTGAGGGAGAGTCAGAGATGGCATCCATTATCAAACCAAGGTCAAAAACCAGACAACCCAAAACTATGTCAGTGATGCAAGAAGCCTAGGAAGGCCAAGTATGACATGTTGTTTCCAGCAGCTCCTCCTGCAGCGTGTAGTGCCCTCAGATGACCTCTACATAGGGAATTTCTTGTGCTTTTAGAGTCCTTTGCTGCAGCTTTACACTCCACTTGGGCACTGGCATTCTGTCCAGACTTTTTAATCATTACCACTCTTACAGACTTTTGTATGTCTCTGATTCAAATTCTGCCACCCAATCCCTCCTTTTCTGAAGCAAAGCAGTCCTTTGCCACCACAACTTCTAGGCCCTGATCTTTGATAAGTAAGGTTGCCAGGTCAGGATTCCCCCAGACCCAAAACCTGAAACCAAGGGAATGGCCCCTAAAATTAAGTGTTATGCATTAAATACCAACCATAGCTACTCACAGCTTGTCAAACACACAGACATGCACATTTTCTTGTTTGAAAAGTAAGGCAAAAATCTTAGCAAAAGGGATTGTTCCCCACTCCTCACCCCCTAAAAAAAACTTTAGCAAGCTGCTGATCTACTTGCTGGAGGTTAGCACTCAGCTCTTTTCCTCTCATCTTGCAATATCGAATTTGCACTCTTGTCTCCTGCTTGGTGGTTACTCACAAAAACTGGAGATCTAGCAACCCTAGGTCTTGAGGGTGTGTGTGAGAGAGAGTGTGCTTTATGGGGGTTCTGTGTCTTTATGAAATGTGCAGAGTCTCTAACAGAAACATGATACTTCCACTTTGGAGAGCTCAAGAGCCCTAAGCAAGCTATCAAGTTAAGACAAAATTAATTTTAAAAGTATAAATTCATATTAATATTCATAGTAAAAGGACAAAGGTCTATCTGATCCAGCATTCTGTTCCACAGTGCCTAATCATCTAGCTAACTATACTACATCCATAACCATGACATAGACACAAGAGTATCTTCCTACCCATGTTCTCTAGCACTTAGTGTTCAGAGACATAGCATAGGTATTAAGCCTGCCTATTTTTACCTTTGGTCCCATCCATCAGTAGTATACTTGCCTCTGGAAGATCAGCCAGAAAGGAATGTGGCCCTCCAGCTGACAAATGTTCCTTACCCTTGCAGTAAATTATTCATTTTAAAAGGTCTTAGCACCATCTTTGTTCATCTTATTCCATCAAGCTATCCATAACCCAGTGGATCCAACAGATGCATTAAAGTTGTAGTGCATCATCACTGAACAAATTACTTTCCATCTGTTCAAGGACATAATTTGGCCAGAATGGATGGAGTTGAGAAAAGGCTGCGGTTTCCTTGAGTCTTAGGAGATTATCGCACGGGCTTTCGTCCAGCCACAGTGCAAACTGAAAATTTGGGAATTTTTTTCCAGTTCAGGTGTTATCGTACACCTCCATCCTCAGACCAGAGGCATCGCAACCCAATCTTAGCCAGATTCATCCCTGATCTGTCCAAATCCTGTCTTTCTCAAAGAACAGGTAATTTCGTTCTTTGGAAAGGACAGGATTGGGACCAATTGGGGAGGGATCTGGCTAAAATTGGGTCACAATGCCTCCAGTCTGAGGATGGAGGTGTGCAATAACACCCAATCTGGAAAAAAAATCCCAAATTTTCAGTCTGCTATGGGGCTGGGCAGAAGCCTGTGCAATAATAATCTCCTTAGAAAATTCTTCTCCTGCCCTGCTTCTAATCAGAAAAGAGGATCCCAGTATATTCCAATCCATGAACTCCAAGCAAATGTGTGTTTGTGGGTGTGCATTCACACATTCCCTTATCTCTTGGGGAGGAGCTCTGCTGTTGCAATTGGGTGCTGAAATCAGCATGTTGATGCACAAGATCCCTCTTATTTCCCTCGCTTTCTGTCCTTTTTTTTTTCCTGTGAGGGGAGAGACAGTACCTCCTCTACTCAGAGGTATTACTTCTGAGTATAGGAGGACTCCATTCTCCTGGATTTTTGTCTTTGTTCTTTCTCTGTTGCATGCAAGGGGTAGAGAGAAAAGAAGAAGAGCTGTAGAGATTCAAGATTGTTACAAAAAAAAACTTTCAATTTGGGTATGCAGTGAAATCCACAGGGAGCTGGGCTTTAATTTTTATTATTAATTCTTCTTTTTCTTTATTATTAGCTGTGTTTACCTGCTCACATAGTTGTGAATGCTTTTAAGAAGGGGGAGAGAAGTTGCTTCAGGCAACCCCATAACAGACAAAACTGGGTATTATCAAGCCAACCTACCAGCCTAACCTCAATGATTTGTCTCCTACTCCTATTCCCCCCAGGGAGGATTGGAAAGGTTGTGAGAAGGTGTGTACATGGGCATGCATGTAAACATTTCTCCTGTGAGAAATGGGGCATCACTAGAGAGGTGAGGGGGGTGCGGACAGCCTGAGGTGAGAGCATGAATTATCGCACTAGGTTGACACCAATCCTATATGGACCTTATCCCACGCTGCTCTCAAAAGTGGCAAGAAAGCGATATGAGCATCATTGCAGTACTATAGCGCTAGTATAAATATGGCGCTAGCGCTATAATAGCGCTATGGATAAGCTAGCGCTATTGCAATGCCCGCTGAAACCGACATTCAAAAGAACCCGAATGATGCTGCATTCCGAGCGGTTTCTTGTTGGATTCTGAGCGACGTCGTGTAATCACCCGGAAAACTATAGCGCTATAGCGCCTGATTCTTAGCGGATTCTGAGCGACGTCGTGTGATCACCCGGAAAACTATAGCGCTATAGCGCCTGATTCTTAGCCGATTCTGAGCGACGTCGTGTGATCACCCGGGAATGTATAGCGCTATAGCGCCTGATTCTTAGTGGATTCTTGCTGCTTTTGGCCCCGTGGGATAAGGTCCCTAGCGACGTCACTGTTTGGGAAATACATTGATGAGTAACCTGAAACAAACATGCTTTTCTCTCCCCTCTCATTGGGGGAAAGCACACCCTGTCTGCTCCAAAAAGTCAAAGAGCCAATTAGATTTAACAGAGAGGTTTGCAAAAGAATAATTTTTTTTTAATCTAAAGAAAGTGTTTGTGTTGTTTTTTTCAGGCAAGTAAGACAGGAGACAAAGTCCCATGTGCTGAGTGTTGGCCCAAAACTTTTATTTCTTAAAAAAGCACAAGTTTTGGCCTTGTCACCAATTGACCTTCTTTAGGGGCTATTACTAGAAATTTCTGGAGCTGCAGTCTACACTCTCAATCCACTTTGGATCCACTTTGATCTATGAACACACACTTTGATTTGATCACACAGGATGTGGGACTTTTTCTCCTTTTATTCTTCTACTGTGGATATGTGCCTTGCAGTTGTTTGTTCTGTTAAAGTCTATAGTGGAAAAACCTCAGGGTCATGATATTATTCCCACCCCTAAACTTTCCTACTTTGAGAGAACTGAAACACTTGAAAAGCATGTGAAAGACCCATATATCATGGAAAGAAGGGAGAATTTTCTGATAATTCATGAATATGAATTGCTGCAATGCCTTAAACATATATCAGTGTGATACAAATGTTTAAAAAGAAACAGGACATTTGTGATAAAGAGAAGTAGTGGGTCCTAGAGCAGATCAAGCCGGAAACCTTCCTGGAAGCCAAGATGACCAAACTGACGCTGTCATACTTCAGACACATCATGAGAAGAGAGGACTCTGGAAAAAACAATAATGTTGGGAAAGGTGGAGGGAAATAGGAAGAAAAGAGGGTCACATGCCAGATGGATGGACTCTATTAAGGAGGTCATGGGTATTAAGGGGTTGCAGGAATTAAGCAGAGCAGGGGAGGACAGAGGGTCTTGGAAATGTCTCATCCATAGGGTCGCCATGAGTCGAGATTGACTTGAGAGCAGTTAACAACAAAATATCTTTGTGTAGATTCTTGAGTGTCAAGGGCAACATTCACTTGAAAGCAATATGCCAAGGGATTCATGCTAATGTGGGTGTAAAGTATGAAATATTGTGTATTGATTCCCCAATTAACAACTGTCGTCCAAAAATGTAACTCTACAATCTCTGATTTTATGTTGTGTGTTTCTGTCCTGTATTACAAAAAGTTAAAAATATATCAGTTATAAGCTAAAGAGCAAGCAAAAGTCTTCCACTGGGAAATGTTTCAGTCTGATTTTTTAAAATGCTCATTCAAAAAAAGAAAAGAGCATATTGATCAAATGTGGCACACTGAAACCAGATACGAATGAATGAACTGGCACATTTTAGGGCAGAGCCTTGGGAGAGTTTGTCTCTTCCAGTAGAGAGATACTTAATGCTAATGATAAAATAAATCACCACAAGCATCAGGCTTATACGCTGGAACAATTATCAGTGGTTTGATGGTATGAAGCAAATGAGAGTGCAGGACTTTGTATGGCTCAAAATAAATATGAATTATCATTTGATAGCTGCTGACAGGGCTGGCCCTACTGTTAGTGAGGTGACTGTCTCAGGATAGATACTAAGGGGAGCAAGCAGACTGCCAGCTATTTTTTTTTTTTTTAGCTGTCAATATTTCCTCATTGTTAAAAAGACAGAGCAAATCATAGGAACCTAAGGTTGGAAGAGACCCCAAGGGCCATGCAGTCCAACCCCCTGTCCTGCAAGAATACAAAATGAAAGCACCCTGACAGATGGCCATCCAATCTCGGCTTAAAAACTTCAAAAGACGGAGATTCCACTACACTCCAAGGCAATATATTTCACTGTATGTACATCACATAGCCTGTTTGTCTGTCTATCTATCTATATCTATCGCTTCTTTGTTGTTGATGATGATGTGTCATTTCCAACTTAGGCCACCCTAAGGCAACCGTATGCTGGGGTTTTCTTGGCAAGTTTCTTCAGAGGGGGTTTGCTATTGCCGTCCTCTGAGGCTGAGAGAGTGTGAGTTCCCCAAGGTCACCCAATGGGTTTCACGGCTTAGCAGGGATTTGAACCTTGGCCTCCAGAATCCTGGTCCAAAGCTCAAACCACTACGCCACACTGGCTCTCCTATCACTTCCACTCCTAACTTTTCCTGAAAACTGAAAATCAAGGAGACTGATCTGAGGCCCCTAAACTGCTCAGCTACCTTAAGTATGGTAGAGAACATTATCCCACCCACAAAATAAAAAGGAAGCACATTTTAGGGGACTGGAACATAGTTTTTATTAGCTTAAAAGCCCTATGCATTTTGGCCTATGGACGTTCCTAAGCCCCTACATTAATTGGTTGAAATGTGTCAGACTTTGTAGCCAGTAAACATCACCTTCTAGCACCCTCAGATGCGTTTCCCTTTTCCATTGGTAGATTTTATTGAATGCTCTCCAGTTTTTGTTCTTTTTGGACATTATCCCGTCACCATTGCTAAGGATTCAAATGCCAGTTCACTTGGCCTCTGTGTGTGGAATGGGAGAAAGAGGCAACAGCTTGCCATTTGTTTTAGGGAGTAAAATATCTTGGGATGACCCAGCCCTGCTCCCCCAGCAATTGTATTTTGACAGCAAAGAGGAGAAATTAAATTCAAAAAGCAGAGTTGCACTTTGATAGGAAAGAACAATATTCAGAGTTCCTGTACCTTGCTAAGTGACTTTTCTGATTGGGTCCATCCATCTAGCATGGTCCTTCTCTCTTCATATTGCCCTCCACCTTACAAAGCATTATCATCTTTTCTAATAAGTTCTCTCTTCTCATTATATGGCCAAAATATGAAAGCCTCAGCTTAGTCAACCTGGTTTCTAGGGAGAGTTCAAGCATGATTTTCTCTTTGTTGTTGCTGTGCACCATCAAATCATTTCTGACTTATGACAACCCTAAGGTGAATTAATCATGAGGTGTTCTTGGCAAGATCTGTTCAGAGGAGATTTGACATTGCTTTCCCCTGAGGCTGAGAGCATGTGACTTGCCCAACGTCACCGAGTGGGTTTCATGGCTGAGCTGGGAATTGAACCCTAGCACCCTGGTCTTCAGAATCATAGTCTGGCACTCAAACCACAATGCCATGCTGGGTCCCATTTATTTGTCTTTTTAGCAGTGTACATCTAGCTCCACATCTCAGATGAGCAGGTTTTCTTCCTATCAGTTTTCTTCATTGTCCAGCTTTCATTCCCATATATAGAGATGGGAAATCCAATGACTTGTACCATGCTAATTTTAGTTTTCAGGGATATTTTTCAGAATTTTATCTAGTTCCTTCACAGTTTCCCTTCTAAGTCCTACTTGTTTTCTGATTTCATGACTGCAGTCTCCACTCTGATTAATGATTGAGTCAAGGTATGGAATATCTTGAACTATTGCAATGTCTTCATCTTCTGCTTTAAAGTTAACTAAATGCTCTATGGTGATTATTTTTGTTTTTTAATGTTCACCTGTAGATCTGCCTTTGAAATTCCTTCCTTGATGTTCTTCAGTAACCATTCTAAGTCTTTAGTAGTTTCTGTTAATAGTATGGAGTCATCTGCTTACTTTCAATTTTTGGTGTTCCTTCCTCCAATTTTCACACCTCCTTCTTCCAAATCTAACCCTGCTTTAGGTATGGTGTTTTTTCACATACAGGTTATAGGGTGATAAATCACTATCTTCTACTTGTACAACATGCAAATGGAGACACAAAAGTGGAAGGAAGAGGATGCGTGTGTGTGCACACGTGCCTTCAAGTAGTCTGCCAACTTATGGCAACCCCATGAATTTCATAGGATTTCTTAGGCAAGAGATATTCAGAGATAGTTTTGCCAGTTCCTTCCTCTGAAATATAGCTTACAGCACCTGGTATTCATTGGTGGTCATCCATCCAAGTACTAACCAGGGCTGACCCTGTTAGCTTCCAAGATCAAATGGGATCTTGTGCTTTTAGGACATTTAGGCCCTCAAGTAAGAGGATAGGGAGGGATTTTATCACTTTTTTATTTTAATTCCATGATCACATTGCCACCCTCAGGTCATCCCAGCATGCGCTCTTTCTCAATACATACACACACACACACACACACACATATATACACACACACACACACACAGACTGCTTTCATCAGAATGGCTAACTGGTACAAGGCATCAGATGAGTTATCCTTGAGATAGATATGCCCTGTTTGCATTTCTCCAATAACAAGCAAACCTTTTGACAGCAATGAAGTCTACCAGCTAATAGACACCATTAAGTAGAACTGCCTTCGGCTGTTAACAATTCTCTGAGACAGAAATGAATGCTAGCATTATCTTTTTTTGTCGACTGCAATGATTTTGATTAATTTTGACCACAAGCAATGGAGTGGAAATCAATATTTCCTACAAAACCAGATGTTCTGAAAATGTTAGCATTACAGAGGCAATCAGTATGCTGTATTAACACTGCTTCATTTAGTCTGGCCCCAATGGTAAGAGAGCATTTATTTTGTACATTTATTTTATGACCTTACTTCCCACTTGCTTTTAATGATAGATTTGTTTTCTTAAGTCATAACATTATGATCACATTAAAAATTAAAAATTCATTACAAAAACATTTAAAGCACAACATCAAATGGTGTGGCGTGTCTAGGGCTGCATTTGCACTGCAAAAATAATGTAGTTTGACACTCATGGTTCCATCCTATGGACTCCTGAGATTTGTAGTTTACTGTGGCACTAGAACTCTCTGATAGAAGAGGCTAAATAGCTCACCAAACTACAGATCCCAAAATTCCATGGCATTGAGCCATGACACTTAAAGCAGTGTCAAATTGCATTATTTCTGCAATGCAGATGTAGCCTAGAAAGTACTAATCTTGAATATGTTAGAGCTGAGAGGTATAAATGCAACATACTGGAAGCTAAGAGGAATTCATCACAATTCCAACATAATTATTAGTATATAAATGGGGGGGGGGGTTACAGAAGTGGATGTAACTGGGGAGATCAAGGTTCAGATCCCCACTGAACCATGACGTTCACTGGGAGATCTTGGCCTGGTCCATCTTTTTCAGCTTATAGAATCATAGAATCATAGAGTTGGAAGAGACCTCAAGGGCCATCCAGTCCAACCCCATGCCATGCAGGAACTCCCAATCAAAGCATCCCCGACAGATGGCCATCCAGCCTCTGCTTAAAGACCTCCAAGGAAGAAGACTCCGCTACTCTCTGAGGGAGAGTGTTCCACTGTCAAACATCTTTCACTGTCAGGAAGTTCTTCCTAATGTTGAGGTGGAATCTCTTTTCCTGTAGCTTACATCCATTGCTCTGTGTTCTAGTCTCTGGAGCAGCAGAAAATAAGCTTGCTCCCTCCTCAATATGACATCCCTTTAAATATTTAAACAGGGCTATCATATCACCACTTAACCATCTCTTCTCCAGGCTAAACATACCCAGCTCCCTAAGTCGTTCCTCATAAGGCATGGTTTCCAGACCCTTCACAATTTTGGTCGCCCTCCTCTGGACACATTCCAGTTTCTCCACATCCTTTTTGAATTGTGGTGCCCAGAACTGGACACAGTATTCCAGGTGAGGCCTGACCAAAGCAGAATAGAATGGCACTATTACTTCCCTTGATCTATTCTAGACACTGTACCTCTATTGACGCATATCAACTCTCGCAACACACTGTTTACTGAAAAACGTACACACTGAGCATGAAGACCAGGTAAGAGCCCAAACATACACTGAAAGTGTATAAAGTATCTTCACTTTCCCCAAAGTGACAGCATATCCTTGGATCTCCAGGCAGCTGTAAGATTAATTCCTTCTCTACCAGTTACATCCCAAAGTGTCAAACCATTTTCTTCAGTCTTTCCACACTTTCACATTACAGCTAGCAACTAGTAGCCACCAGCCATGACAGACCATTAAGCAAATGTCGTAAACTAGCAAAGTACACAAAAACCTAATGTCCCATGTGTGACAGGGAGGCTTAGAAAATTGTTTTCATGATTTCTCCCTTACGTCTGACAGCATTACTCTCCATCAAGCCTAAACAAGAGCTATTTTCCACATTGCCTGCAGTTAGTGCCAAACAGTCTAACAGCCATTCATTTCTGAGTCCATTATGTATACATAGTTGAAGGATAGAATTGCTATACATGTTTGATGAAAACACAGATTAAAATACATGAACGGTATAAGAAAGCACAACAGGGGCTATAGAAGATAATGTATATGAGCCATCATGATCAATGATGCCCCCAAATAATATGGCAAGGGAACATGTAGCTGCTCAGGTATTGCACAAGTGCAGTTGTAATATGTGTGTGTGTGTGTGTGTGTGTGTGTGTGTGTGTATATATATATATAATGCATACACTCATCCTCAACTGGTTCCCCTACGCCCACACCCGTTTTTTAATGGCTCACCTTACATTGCACCAGTAATTATTTGCTGAGAGAGATCCAGATTTTTTATTTTAATTTTTACTATTTCAGTAGTTGCACTTACGCACTTCCATAGGATTACTGGGCCAGTATTTGGTCAGTGAGAAAAAGTCCTCACTTCCATACTATTGCATTCTATAAAATAACGCATGGGAATGTTAAAAACTCACATCATGCTAAAATTTAAAAATATGAATAAATTTATCAATAGAAATAAGAGCAGTTACCATTCAACAACAAATATAAACAACGCCAGATATTTCATTTTAAAAACAGTCATTTATGTATGGTGTGTTAATGCTTCTGGCATTTCCAATAATTTTGCCAGATTTTATTTCTCATTCTGTTCCTATGTAGTTGAAAGGGATTTTCCCTTGCAAATCAAGATTTTACAGTCCTATATGTTTTTGCCCGACATGGATATTTTAAGTTTATAATTCTCCATGGATGAATGATGGCACAATTAATCCCTTCTCCCTGCTATAAATTGATCTTGGCACTGTGTGCTTTCAGACATTTTCTTTTTTTAAAAAAAAAATCACAGTTATAAATAAGCCTGGCATCAGGTCACCAAGGGGCAAAGGAATACATTTATTGATGAAGCTTCAGCAGAAAACATGACAGGATTGTATTAAGCCAGCGCATAACATACAGTACAGGCAGAAAGATT